AGATGCTTACACTTTGTCTGATACCAGCAAAGTTTATTGTATGTGTAGAAGCCCTATAAAGGGTTAAATGTGAAAGGGTTTATAAAATACCCCTTCCTGTCTTACTGGAGATTCCTGGCTGATATCAGCATATCTAATGGCTAGTGTAGGAATTCACCTATTGAGGCTTGCCTTGACGTGGCAGGTGAGCTTATTTTCAAATGGCCATTGGAATAAAACTAAAGAGCCTCCATTTTGTTTAACTGTACACAGGGATTTAGGCCAGAGCGCAGGTAACGTTCTCTTAGTTTTTATCTGTCTGGCCATTAAACTCACGTTTAAAGACAGAAGTGAATGCCCCAGAAAGCACAGCTTTTATTTATTGTACTGCTTTCAGCTAACTCAGGGCATTTCCACCCATATGTGAGTGAATCAGTAGGGCTGTGCTCCGAGCATCCCGGAGGAGGTTGGCTGAAAGGGCTCAGTCTGTCTGGCACAGATACTTGCCAGATTGACACCCCCATTTTTGGCATGCGTATGCCATCTAAGCTTCCCGATCACATACCGCTCAGTGTTGGAAGGAATGCTACATATGGTGTCACCGTATCATATTGATCAGACAATTACACTTTTAAAGCCACAGCTTGTTTTGTTAAGATTGCGACAAAGGCAGGAACTAACATGTTACAGTAGCTTACACAATTGGTACCATGGAAGCACTGAAAACACATCCAAACAAGATTATATTGCAGGATGAAAGGAAACTAATAAAAAGTAGCTCTGAAGCCAGGTAATTAAACCATCCTGCCATAGCATTGCAATTTTCATTGAGGTCTTGCTAGGAAAGGTCATTGAGGAACTCATTTATGTTGCCTTACTACACCTGATACCAGATAGGAAATAGCAGTTAACCTGGAGAGGAGAGAGACTGATAGTAGGAAATGACATGTTCTTCATCTCATTGCCCAATTCAGGCCAAATCAATTGCAGACAACTAATAAGTATGATCCTTTGGGGGTATATTCACTTAACAGTGAATTGTGGTGAGTTGACAACTCACGTGTAGCATGTAGGCCAAAGTAGATGAGATAGAAAAGCTCAATCTAGTCGGAATTTTCCAAATCCATAATTTTCTCCTTAAGTGTTAAATGTGTATTATAGACCCCTTGGTTGTTTGCCAGTTAGAGTCTGTGATGTTATCCTTGCCAAGTATAGGCAATCTTTTAAAATGCACTCTTCATTTCTGTTTATTATTTTTACTAAAAGGGACAACCATGCCTCCTAATTAAATAAAACAAAATATATATTAACCCCTTAAGGACACAACTTCTGGAATAAAAGGGAATTGTGATGGAATATTTCCATCATGTGTCCTTAAGGGGTTAAGGGAAGGACAGGCAACACTTGCTGTTGCAGAGGCTGCATAGCATACTAATAGAGTTATTCACAAAAGTCCGAATTCAGACTCCAAAATTCAAGTGAACAATAATTTGCAACTGTGCATCCTACCAGATGCATTTGTTTCTGAATGTTTTTTGTTTTGTTTTTTTAATCAGTGATTTTCGAATAGTACAACAAATCATATGCTTTGTGTATTTATCAATTTGGCTTAAAATGTGCTATGAGACCAATATACGTAAAATGAAATATAAGCATAAATGTATTTGGAGGGACTGGAAAATTTATATTTATTCACTAAACAGTCAATTATAGTGACCTGAAATTTTAATTGCAAAGTTTAGGCCAAAATAGATTAACCAAAACTCTAGAAAATATCCTAAAATGTAAAGCTGAAATGTAAAGAGATACCCTAAGCACCATAACCATTACAATCTGTTACACTGTTATGGTGCTAAGAGTCCTTTGTCACCATCTTACGGGTAAGAGGTAAAGCATTTGGCTGGGTAAGTGCCCATAGTCAAGGTACTCATCACTGATACACCTAAAACGAAAATTCCCCTACAACATCAATTTTATACCGACTACGACTTAATTCATTGGAAGAGCGTATTAGCACTCAGCCAGTGAATATGTTCATTTGAAAGGGGAACTTTTTAGCAATGTCTGGGAAGAGAGCCAGACTGCAGATGCTCGGAGAACCCAGGTAAGTAATCTAATAACTCCGTGATGCGTATGATACTTAAAGAGTTCTCTATTTATTTCTTGCAGTTTGTCTTTATTCCAGTACTTTTAATATCCTAGTGGCTAAATGAACACAGCCTTTACTCTAGATAAATACCCATTCATTTGTACTGCACTTCTTTCAAAACAAATCACACAACTCTATTGCAGTTTAAATTTCCTTTTAGCGAATTTTTTTATTTTATTTTATTAAACGCTTTAACATCCAATATATGTATATATTAGTAATAGATTTGTAGTGGCGTTTCTACTCTCGCTGGTGCTTAGATTATAGCATCCCCTATAATACCACTCTGACTCGCTTGTGGTTTGAATGTTGAATTGCTCAAAATTCATTCCTAATTGGCAGCTCATTTTTCTATCATTTTAAAATGTTGGAACTAGATTAAAAGCTGCCAGAGAAATCAGTAAAAAAGGACTGGAGAAATGTATAGGGCATAATGAGTTCTATTATAGTACTGAATATATTTGAAATTGTTCTGGACCATTTTGAAAAAGCGTTCACACAAAATGTAGACAAAACTCAAACCCATCAAATTCAGCATTTTCCACCATCTATATTTGTATTTCTTGATGTAAAAATAAAAGAAGAAAAAAATAAACTCTTTATTCCCTTTGTATCTCAAAGACAATCAGATCTTTCTCTGGAATAACTTTGTTTAATTATTATAAAATTTTTATTTCTAAAGTCCTTTATAAAATGATGTGTATCTTTGTAGCAAAGCTTTCTGTTGAGTTCCCACTACACAACCGCAAAGTCAAAGAATTACTTTCTGTGCTTTTTCTGTCTAATGTACCAGCCGTTTCTTTTCTTCATTTCGTTCATTTTGTCTTTAGGAAATACGTCGCTGAATAAACAGAACAGTAAACAGAATTATAAATAATAAAGAAAATAATAGAATTATTAAATGTATCCAAAAAATGCAGTGATTTAGATATATTTCAGAATGAAAAATGAGTGTAAATTTTGGAACAATATGATCACAGCAAAGACTATACATTTTAAAGGTAATATAATCCCTTTTAATTTAGTGATCTAATTTATAGGATAGAATTGCAAACAAAAAGTGGAATTTCATTTGGTGACAGATATAGCTGTTTAGGAAGACACACTGACCTAGTGTAGTTCACATTATTTATTTGGCATTATCAGCCTATGGAAGTAAAATTTAGTTATAAGTATTTCTATAACAGGGCTTAAACTGTTTTGCAATCGTTTAACTCTGAAGTTCGGGCTCCAGATGCCTGACACAACTGTCCCTTAGATTCATTCTTCTCTGCTATCCCAGCCTATCACTTATTTCATTATTCTGTCAACAGGAGGCCAGTGATATTGTGAGATCGCTAGTTGACACTCTCAGCCTATCACTGGTTGCCTGGTTAAAAGATGTCCCACCGTGCCACACCAATCAACTTCTCCTCATGACTTGACTCAATTTTTGTAGGACTGAAATATTTTCAAGGCCGCAAAGAGGAAGCTCCACTAGTGGGTTCTGGAGTGACCACCAGTATAGGTGGCATAAGAAATCAAAATAAACATTGTCATTTCTCAGGAAAAGCAGTGTTTACCCTGTAGAGACAGCCCCTTATGCCCAGAACCGCTACATAAAGCAGTAGTGGTTCTAGTGCATAGAGCGTCCCTTTAACTATGTTTGGGGTAGGTTTATAGAGCAAGAAAATAGTGGAGGGAAAAGGGTTTTTAAAAAGTACAGCTCCTACCATGACACAACCGTCTGCGGTGCACATTAAGTATTTTTTATTCATGTTGTTAATTTACATAATGTGCTGCTTATTGACGTAACAGAATAGAGTGATCTATTGGCAAATTCTTTACTTTTTGTTTTGTTTTCTTGAGTTACATGTATATTTCGCATTCTTATAACAGCCTGTTAGATAAGTAACAGTTTTGTTTTCAAGATAAATTGCATCGTAACTGCAATATGCAGATGAAGATCGGGAGGAAAATTAGGTTTAAATGATGCGTCCTCATAAGGTTAATGTGTAAAATGTCATCTTTTATGCATTAGAATTGTGCGATATGAGGTCAGACTGGTAATTTGATTTCTAAACCCAATTAAAAGTTGGTCTTTGGTTAACCAGCCAAAGTTGTATGTATAGATCACATACGTATGGTGTCTTTAAATATTAATAATTATATTGATTATGTGTTGGAAACCCTTTCAGTTTGAAGGAGTAATATAGTCTTATTTTGTATGACTCTTACTTGGCAGGAATTATGACCTTAACATACCATGTAAAACATTTTGCATATCCTATTGGTCAATGCAGAGTTTTTATTATCATGCATGTGACTCCTATATGCCTTACATTTCTTCCGTCAGTTTTGAATAAAAAATAAAAAAGGATGACTGCACAGAAGAGCATTAAAAAAGGGATCATTTAACAGAAAGGAGATAATGGGTAGGTAACACAGTAGGAAATTCGAGGTTCTAAAGAATTGGAGAACAAAGAAAAGACATGTTAAGGGTGGAGATCATCATCGGGTCTTGCTTTTTGCTGGTGAGTGGAATGCCAGAACTAGGTTGCAAATCCTCGGGGCCACACAGGTGTGAGCACCAAATTCTAAAACCAGTAACTGAGACTAATGCAAAGTTGTCTGCTGTGAACAGATTTACACTCCCCTCTGCACTAGATACCTGGAACAAAATAAACAACCTTTAGAAAATTATTGAATCAAAATAGTTGCTACAACACCTTAGGAACCTTAGCTTTAGGAACACATTTGTATATATAATCCTATAACCACTTCCTGACGTTCGGACATTCGACACTGTCCTCCACAGAGTGGGCTTTAATGCCATTAGGATGGCATGGGATATCTTAACATTTCGGTGTTAGCAGGTTTAAATCCTTGCTTACACCAGAAGACTAAGGTATCAGTCAATACCCGGGGCTCCCCTCTCTCGGCTGGGGTCATAGTTAGTGGCCCCAGCCTGATAGGTGAGCTGTATGCATGACAGTGAGCACTGTATGCAGTTCTTTAAATAGGGATTTAAATACCTGTGTCTGCAACATTAAATTCCTCCTCACACTATGGAAGCCTAGGTATCAATAGCTACCTGGCACTCACTTCTGTCAGCTTGGGCCACGTTTAATGGCTCCAGACTGATGGGTGAGCTGTATGCTGCGCTCAATATAAGCACTGCATGCACCTCTTAAATCCCCTTTTTAAAGTCCGATGTGAGTAGGGTTAAATCCCTGCTTGCACCAGACAGACCAAGCTATCAATCAATACCTGGGGCTCCCCTTTGTCAGCTGGGGCCATGTTTAGTGGCCCCAGACTGACAGATGAGCCGTGTGAGGCACTCAAAGTGAGCACTGCATACAGATTTTTAAATCAATTTATCAGTTGTACTCAGCCGCTGTGATTGCGAGCCTGCCAGCATGATTCTAAGTCTTAAAAGCAGGGTGAAAACATAGAACACATTTGCACGGGTAATGAAAAACATGTTTTAGAGAAATATTTTCACATTCGTGGAAAATCCTGTTCTGATCCCTACAAAGCCATAAACAAACTGCAAACAAATCCCTCTGTGATATAACTCTTGCAGTAGCTACAGACCGCTCTCAGTTTAACCTGATTCAAGGTAAGGATTTCAAAAAAATACAAAATGCTCAGAAAAATCTTTGTTGATGAATCCAAACAAGCAGAATGTTTGTCGGAACCTGAATGTGTTTTAATAGAAACTGTTCAGTACTAGCTGAGTACACTGTAGGACAAAGTAACAATCTGTTTAGTTTTTTCCTAAGTTATTACTAGCAGTCCATCACTAAATATTGAATGCCTAGATATGTAGAGAATGGAGGCTTGTTTAGCCATAATTAGATATACACAGTGCTACAAAGGCTCAATAAATTACATAACTCAAATATTGAACTTTCCAGAGACACTATGCAAAGATCTATAGCTTTTATAGAAAAATATGTTACGGCCATTCAAGAAATGCCCTTGCAAGATGTAATTCTCTCTGGACAATAAAAAAAATAAAAAATAAAAACAGTGTGGTTTTGTTCAGGAACGGTGATAGAAAGCACTACACATATCCCCCCTCGTTCCCCACCTCACCCCCTCTAGTCCTACAATACCTCACCCCACCCACCCATCCCCCCTTCCCGTCCCCCCTCCCATTCTCTCATGCTGTGCAAAGTAATGTCCTCTTAAATAATGTACGTGATAAAGCCTTGTGGGAGGTACGGAGGTGACAGACGTGAGATCCCAATCGACTCCCCAGGTGGCCTTACCACCCCACCCCAGGTGAGACTCTTAAGGATATTCCCCAGCAGTCTTCATCCCTTGCTGTTCAAACACAGCAACTGTAGACAGTATACCTCACTGTAATAGTTTCCCCCCCCCCCTATTAACACCCACCCAATGTTCTATCCATTAGGGAATGGAACGCTAAAGTAGACGCAATTAAGACCTTGAAGGAGATCCACGCCTCTATCTCTCACAAATATCCACTCTTCAAAGAAGTTTTGGAACTGTGGGTGAGATTTAGGACAGAATCATAATTTGCCTTCCAAGCCTGCCATGCCCTTGTCGGCTAAACCCACACTCTAACAGGCCCTGAGCTATACAGGTACACATCCTTCCCCTTCACTCTCCCTCACTCCACAGGCCTGTTCCTTTCGCCTGCTCTTTGGACTCTGGAGCCGGGTCTCTACTCTATACCTTTTGTTTACTGTCCCCTGTCCCTTGTCCTATACATATGTTGTTCACCCACTGATTTATGTTGATATGACTATACTTTACCAATAAACCAACTGACCCCACCACAACAACACCAGCTGAATTCTACCCTAAAACAATAGCCCTATTACACCTTCGCATCTCAAGCTATCCACGATGTCTCATACATTGTGATTCACACTCCAGACCATGTATGAACTTCAGGGGTATGAAAATTGGGTGAGCACCTGAGGTACCACCCTTGATGTGATATATTGTCTTACTGTGTATCGATGTCTGATTCCTCGCTGTTATATGTAACAGATAACAAAAATGTATTACTCAACCATCTGTCATGGTATTATTCTGTATATCCTTTTATTCAAATGAAATTCAAAAAAAAGAAAGCAGTGCACAATTTTGAGAAAAATATTTGACATGTAATGACAACTGAATCACAGGACGAGGCAGGAGATGTTCGTCATGACCGTTTTCCTCACGGTATTCTTCTAATGATTGGGGTCTAATTGGCAAGTCGAAGGGATGTGATCTCACATTCGGCTACAATCTCTGCTCACTAGAATAATACTGAACAGAGGGAAGTGTCACACAGACACCTTTCCTGTCTCTTCTCTTGCACCTACACCACCACTGATAGATAGTAATGTATTGTGGAAGGTCTTGTGACTTTGGGTTAACTTACAACAAACAATACAGACGGTGCCAGTCAAAACCAAAAACAAGCTCCCAGAAAAAAGGGTCATTAGGAAAGAAATGGAGGACAGATGGAGACACTTGGGGGATACTTACATGTTACACACAAGCTCATTACACAGAAGGCCAAAATGATTGTCCGGGATTGATGTATCTGCCTTGCAGAGGGAATTTGCAAAACATTTTGGATGTGGCCTGCCCTTGTTGGTGGGATCAATCTGATAAAAGGGTATTAGTTTATCTGTAAAGGCACAAGTGAGCAAGATTATTTTTCAGACAGACTTGAACTAACCGAAGGGCAAGCTATTGAGGTTCTCAGACTGCTGATATTCTCTGGTTTTTTTTGCAGACCGACTTTTACTTTTGTCAATGTTTCAGTTATAATGTTAAACCCAAAACAAAAACAGTGAGTGCAGGGGGGTTAGTACCACACATATATATATGTGTGTATATATATATATACAGGGAGTGCAGAATTATTAGGCAAATGAGTATTTTGACCACATCATCCTCTTTATGCATGTTGTCTTACTCCAAGCTGTATAGGCTCGAAAGCCTACTACCAATTAAGCATATTAGGTGATGTGCATCTCTGTAATGAGAAGGGGTGTGGTCTAATGACATCAACACCATATATCAGGTGTGCATAATTATTAGGCAACTTCCTTTCCTTTGGCAAAATGGGTCAAAAGAAGGACTTGACAGGCTCAGAAAAGTCAAAATAGTGAGATATCTTGCAGAGGGATGCAGCACTCTTAAAATTGCAAAGCTTCTGAAGCGTGATCATCGAACAATCAAGCGTTTCATTCAAAATAGTCAACAAGGTCGCAAGAAGCATGTGGAAAAACCAAGGCGCAAAATAACTGCCCATGAACTAAGAAAAGTCAAGCGTGCAGCTGCCACGATGCCACTTGCCACCAGTTTGGCCATATTTCAGAGCTGCAACATCACTGGAGGGCCCAAAAGCACAAGGTGTGCAATACTCAGAGACATGGCCAAGGTAAGAAAGGCTGAAAGACGACCACCACTGAACAAGACACACAAGCTGAAACGTCAAGACTGGGCCAAGAAATATCTCAAGACTGATTTTTCTAAGGTTTTATGGACTGATGAAATGAGAGTTAGTCTTGATGGGCCAGATGGATGGGCCCGTGGCTGGATTGGTAAAGGGCAGAGAGCTCCAGTCCGACTCAGACGCCAGCAAGGTGGAGGTGGAGTACTGGTTTGGGCTGGTATCATCAAAGATGAGCTTGTGGGGCCTTTTCGGGTTGAGGATGGAGTCAAGCTCAACTTCCAGTCCTACTGCCAGTTCCTGGAAGACACCTTCTTCAAACAGTGGTACAGGAAGAAGTCTGCATCCTTCAAGAAAAACATGATTTTCATGCAGGACAATGCTCCATCACACGCGTCCAAGTACTCCACAGCGTGGCTGGCAAGAAAGGGTATAAAAGAAGAAAATCTAATGACACGGCCTCCTTGTTCACCTGATCTGAACCCCATTGAGAACCTGTGGTCCATCATCAAATGTGAGATTTACAAGGAGGGAAAACGGTACACCTCTCTGAACAGTGTCTGGGAGGCTGTGGTTGCTGCTGCACGCAATGTTGATGGTGAACAGATCAAAACACTGACAGAATCCATGGATGGCAGGCTTTTTGAGTGTCCTTGCAAAAAAAGGTGGCTATATTGGTCACTGATTTGTTTTTGTTTTGTTTTTGAATGTCAGAAATGTATATTTG